GATCTTGGATACACTCTCCATTTAGACATACCTAATTGTTTAGCTTGTTCACCCATCTATCCGTCCCTATACCCATGTTTGCTTTCACTGACCATTGCTGGGATTTTTGATAAGCATTTTGCTAACCCTATATATTAGTTTGGGGAGAATTACATCTCTACTCTGAACATGATATTTCTCTATTTATAGATCTTTGATTTTCACTTATCAATGTTTTATAGTTTTCAGCACACAGGTCCTTCTATATCTTGTTAGATTTACATCTGTTTTGCTTTTCTGTGGAGCAACTGTAAATGGTATTTTTAATTTTGGTGTCCACATGTTCATTGCTACAATAGAGTTTTGTTTATTTATTTTGTATCTTGAACCTTCCTGAACTCATTTATTGTAGGTTTCTGGGATTGGTTTTTGCTTAGTAGATTTGTTAGGAATTTCTACATGGACAAACATGCTGTATCCATGAGAAGACTGATTCCTAGATCCAACCCCTCCACGGATTCTGATTTAATCAGTTTGGACATCAGGATTTTAAAAACTTCATGGTAATTAGCATTACCTGGTAATTCTAATAGGCAGCTAAGGCTGAGAACCACTGCTTTTTGAACTTGTCCATCAGTGAACATAACTGCTTTTTTTAAAAAAATATATATGCAAAAGAGCCAAGTTCGAGGAACCCATAGTATCGGTAGTACACCTTGCTGTCAGGCTAGCATAGTTAATTACTGACTCCACCCAGCCCAGAGCAGACAACTACACTGTGATGGATAATCACCCAAGTTTAATGAACAAAAAAATGTCGATGTGTACAAAAAGTTGTGCGTTTTTTTTTTGTCACTTATATGTCCCCATTTTTTAGATGGGGCGTTACCTTTCTCCATGGTCTTGAATACCTCTTTTTCCCCTGAGACCAGCATCCTAGGTGAATGCTGGACCCATCACTACAGGGCAGAATGCATCAGTGTGAAAGGTTGTAGTCCCTGATATAGGGCACTATCAGTTCTTTTTACATAGTAAGAATAGCCTGTTCTTGGCCCTTGAAGACCACCAGGGGACTAAAAACTGCTGCAAAATGAATGACCCTCTGTACTGTGTAACCCAGGACCACGCGAGGGAGGCCAAACCTTCATCTTTCAGCCCTTCCCTCAGCCTGTAGTCCTCAGTTTAGAGCAGGTCTCTTGAAGATTTTGTTTCTGGCATTTAAGGACCCAGCCCAGCCAGGAGTACTAAAATCATCAGGACAGGTCTACACCAGTGAAACTTGAAACAGAACAGTGAAAGGAAGGAACCTTGAGGAGTGTGTGCAAAGTGGTGTCCTAAATCTGCACCAGCTACCAGACAAGGGGAAGGAGCAGGTGTGCTGCTATTCTGCTTCCCCTTGTGGAGCCACGTTCAGAGTTCCTCAGTGTCCTGACAGCTGAGGTGGGATGCAGCTGCTGGGTCCAGGCAAAAGCTCACACTCCCATACCAGGGGGACAGAGAACCTCAGGCAAACTAGGATTACGGGCCACCGCCCCAAGAATTGAGTGGGCCACAAGCAATTCCTAGCACACAGGTTCTTCATCCCTATAAGGAGAGCCACCAACCAGAGTAAGGCAAGTAGGCTGGACCCAAACCTTCAGGCTCCAGTTTAAGAGTTTCCCTAACAAATACTAACTCCAGATCATTGGTCTTAAGGCCTCTGAGCAACCAGTTTGGTACTGGATTTATGTTGCTGTGGGGCTTCAAACCCGTTGAACAACCCCTTCCAGATGGCCAGAACCCAACTCCAGAGTCCTTAAGACAAAAGTTGTCTAGAGCTACTCCAAACGCTATTAGGGTTGCTGCTAATAGGAATGGAGTTCCCTGGTAAAGCCTCTCGCCCAAGGGCATTGACCAGCTGCAGAAAAATGCTCAGGCTACCTTGGTTGCCTCTTGTATGCCATCAGTGGCAGGAGATAGGCCCTAGAGGAGGTTGAGGACCTAATGACTCTCCTGGACTGCGGATTAATCGACAATTAGGAAGTTTTACACCCAGCTCTGAGTTAACTCCAAGTTTAGGACTCCATATTCTGCTCCATCCTTGGCTCGTACTCTCTTCCACTGTCCCTAATCTGGACCCACCTTGTTTTCTGCTCACCCATGGTCCTCTACCTCACCTTTTCCTAGCTCTAGCCCTAGCAGGGAACAAGTCATCCTTTATATGTGAAGCCAGGGAGGCCTGGTTCATCAACCTGCTGGACTCGGGCTGCTGCTCAGGTCTGACAGGGCCATCTCATAGGCCTCAGAAAGGGACCAGAATGGGTGGGCAAGAACCACAATGAGTTTACAGATGCTTGAGTGGCATGAGGACAGAAGTTGAAGGGGATGGAATGGTGGCTGCGGGTGATGCCGCAGGTCTGCTGAGTTCATCAGCACCGTGTCCGAGGATGCCCCACATGGGCCTGCAGCGCTTCCCGGATGCTGCGCTGCCAGTCTCGTGCCAGCTGCACTGGGGTCATTGATGCCTGGGAACAAGGGTGCTGAGTCAGTCCTTTCTTTGCTCAGGAACTCCACCTGACCTCCTCTATACAGGGAGCCTAAGGCCTCAGCCTTGCTCACACTCACCGTGTTCTGCATACCCAGCTTGGCTCCATAGAGCAGCAGTAGCTTCATAGCTTTGTAGTGGCCGTGCCTCACAGCCTCATGAAGAGCTGTGTCTCCTTCCTATGGAAAAAGCCCTTTCAGCACTTGGGAAGTCATCTAACCCACTATCCTGCCCTCACCAGTCAGCCGTCACTTGTAAGGATCATAGAGGGAAGGGTTGGGTCAACAGGTGCTGTCATAGCAGAAAGCAAAAGCTCTTGCCCAAGCTTCTTTACAGTCCTCTGGTGGAACTGCCTTGCACTGAAAAACCAAGTGCCTACCTTGTCTTGTGCATCAATGTGGGCACCACATGCAATGAGGTGCTCCAGGCAGTCACAGTGCCCTGTCCGGACTGCCACATGTAGAGGGGTGCTCCAAATCTGAGGAGGCGTGAGTGAGAATCAGTGTTGGATCCAGAGTAAGGAGGCCTTATCCTAATTCCAAAAGGCTGGGCTTTCTGTTCTGCGGAAATAGCGCTAGCCCGTGTGTATTGCTCCCATGCTTCTAACAGACACTCCAAAGATATGTGCCCCTCACCTTGTCCTGGGCATTGACCTGGGCTCCCTGGTTAAGCAGATGTTTGAGGATGTCCAGGTGTCCTCCACGGCAGGCCCAGAACACAGGTGTCCTGTCCAGCTGCAAAACAAAAGCACCAAAGCACTCTGACTTGCTGGGATGCTAAGCAGCGGGTTGGCTATAGATACAGGCCTTCCTGAGTTCTCACCAAGTCCTGAGCATCCACCTTGGCACCTGCCTCCAACAGCTTGTTCACAAGTTGGTTGTGACCCTTCAGACAGGCCCAGTGCAAGGCTGTGCGGTGAAGCTGGAGGTGGGAAAAGGGGAGATCAGGCAGAGGGACTGCAGCCACGCTCAAGAGGCCTCCCACCTGATCCTGTTCCCAGGACTTTCTCTCCCAGCTCAGGAGGCTCCACAGGATTCATGCCCCATAAAGTCCTGAAGGTTCCTAGGGTGGGACTGTCGCATACTAAAGACAGCATTCCTGCAGCTGTTCAGGAACGCGGTGCTCGGGGCTTAGTCCCCGACAACCCACATGCTTCTTACCTTGTCGTGGGCATTGGGGTCTCCTCCATCTGTCAGGTACTTGTCAATCAAGGCCTCCTGGTTCTCAGCAGCTGCCTTCAGGAACATCTCCAGGTCCACAGGTGCCAGTTGGGCCTGTGGCTGCGGCTGGGTAAGTTGAAAGACAACAAATCACTCCCCTAAAACTGTAGGCACCTGTGACATCACAGATTCACCATCCTAGCCCCGCGGTTCACAGATGATTGGGGACTAACTCTCTATTAATAGACTTGTTAAAATACTGTGTTTCTTAATCCCATCCCCAGGACATTCTGACTGAGTAGATGGGGCTCTGGGATGCATTTTCTCAAGCCCCTCAGGGTGCAGCCGTGTCTGGGAGCACCACTGGAAGCTGCAGTCTGCATGTGCCACAACCCCACGCTCTCACAAGCTGCTCCACAAGGAAGCACAGTTCTTCCGCTCACTCAGGCTCTGGATATGCACACTCTCCTACCACCCCCAAGGTCTCACCTTAACCAAGGGCTCGGGTTCCCTGGGGGGGACTCTGCGTTTTAGTCGTTTTCTTCGTCTTTGAACCAAATTTTCCAAGTCAGTCAGATTCTCCAGATTGAATCTGGAACTGTTAAATCTTTCAAGCTGGAACAGAAAGGGGGGCAGAAAACAGTTATGGTTGTGGTGGGACCTACCTGACTGGAGACCATGACAGTCATCAGCTACTAGTCATGGAAGCCTTGGGGGCAGGTTCCAGTTCAGTCTAATCTTTCTTTTCCCTGCCCACAGGAGAAACAGCAGCTGCTTAGGCTGTCAGACCCTGGCCAGATTCTCCAAGGCCCTCACTGCTTTGAGCCTGCCCACAAGGGGACTAGCCACCCCTCCCACAGCATCACTCTCACTTTCTTCTTCTTTTCTTCTTCCAATTTCTGCCTCTCCTGGGCCATGGCCTCTTGGAGTCCCAGCCTCCAGTCACCAGGCCAGCCTCCAGGATCAGGAACTCCATGTTCAAATCCCAACACTTTCCTTTCAACTCTTTCACCACTTACCTGTAGGAATAGGATAAGGATAAAGATCAGAAGAATTGAAGGAGCCCTTAGAAAATACAGCAGTAAGATCCTGGATAGAGTGAGAAAACAATGTGGAACAAAACTTAAAAGTCATAAAAAAAAAACCCAGGTTTACTGGTCTGGTAGAGCCTGGTGAGATCCCCCGAGACGACGGCCCCTAGCTACCCTTCAGATCTGGAACTGAACTCATTCCCGTGGCTTCCAGCCAGACAATAGACGGGCATATAGGGTGAACTTTTACATCAGGTAGACAGATGCACTCCTTAGAGCGATGAATCATGGGAGAACAGAAGGGCAGTGTTTGCACAGGGAGACAGCTCGGGGCAGGAATGAATAGGAAAGAAGGACACACAAGAGGTAACCACAGGGAGGAAGTGCGTAGAGAGCTATTACATCGTGCGGACAGAAGTCAGTATCAAGAAACAATGTGTATGAACTGCTATATGGAAAATGAATTTGCTCTGTAAACTTTCACCCAAATCACAATAAAGTTTAAAAAAAGAAAGAATATAGCTGTGCAGTGCCAGGGAGTTCACTGACAAGAGGTGATATACAAAGATTAGTGTTCTGAATTTGAGACTTGGATTGACCCTTCTCAAGACTTCTTGGAGACCAGAGTATTGGCAATCTCACCGATACACATGGCTGCTGCTGGCTCCCTCAGGAACCTACTTTTTCACCAACTGTGGTGTCATCCAAGGCTCAAACTGCCACCTGCTCCTGTCAGCAGGAATACAGGGGTAGAGAGCTACGACACCATGTCTATTTATACTGTTGTGCTCAAGTTCCCTAAGGGCAGATGACATCTTAGCTTCCCTCAAGGGTTGTTATGTTGAGAGTCCTACCTGTTCACGTTATCCTGCCACCTGACAGCAAGCTCAAAGGGACAGAGGACACACTCCAGGGTAAAAAGCTGAATTCCTGGGTTCAGATCTCAGCTCTTTGTGACGCTATGTTTCTCCATCAATAAAATGGAGTAAAAACAACACTTTCTTCTTGGACTTGTAAAGATAAAATGAGTTACTGGGATTTATAGGGCCTACTATAGCAAAGATTCATTCTTTTCTTCCCTCACCATCCCCAGGATCTCAGGAGCTAGGGAATAAACAGGTTGGGTGAAGTGAAAAGGCTGTGATGCTAGAATAACAGAGCCTGGGGCTTAAAACTATAATATCATCCCTTCTAAGGCAAACTCTGGCAGCCTAACAGTTTTTGGCTTTGAAATCCTGTCTGCCTGGCTGGAGCCTACTGGCCCATGCTGAGGCTGTTGGGTGATGTGACATCCTGCACATCACTACCCTCCATGTTCCACCTCCGCAAAACCCAGACAATCCCAAAGTAGGTGCACAAGAGCACCATTCTTCTAACAAGACAGCCAGACCCCCACCCCCAGACCATTTCCAGAGCAATGACTACTATAGCAGTGGAACTAATAAACACCCCATCTACACCAGTGTCTTCTAGGGTATCCTGGTTGTTCTTTCAACATCACAGTCAAGGACAGAACTCACTAAACTGAAGGATTTTCTTGTCTACCATCACCCAACTTCTTTCCTTTTCAGTGTTGACCTCTGTCCCCTCACAACCTCACATGAGATGGGCAGACAGACAGACAGGCAAAGAACTGGATGCTTTCTTGCTCCCAAAGCCTGATCTCTAGACCTCTAAAAGAACTTCCTGCCCTCCTCTAGCTAGTGCTCATCAATCTGCTGAGACTGTTTCCCCAGCCCCCCCATCCCTCTGTCCCACATCCTTACCAGTTGCTGAATACTGATGAAGTCCATGGTCCCCCCCTGCCCCTGCTCTTCACACCCCCTGGTGAGAGTGGCTGAGCTACTCAGCCCTTTTATAGGAGAGCTGTCTACTGGGAGCAGGGGGTAGGGAAGGACAAGAGCTTGCATCTGGGCCAGATAACTTTGTGGCTCTGTAACACTAACCAAAATACCAGTCTGGGAATGCAGCCCAGTGAGGGCAGGAAAAGGAGCTGTTTTGAGGTGAGTCAGTTGCATGCTCATCCTGAACCTCTACCACACCTCCACATCAACTAAGGAGTTACCAACCAAGAAAACATCATGGGGTGCCTGACCCAGACCTCAGCTTCAGGGGAAAACACTGCAAACTCTTCTAAGTCTAGACTCTATTGTTTGGTGCCGTTGAATCAGTTCCAACTCATAGTGAGTGACTGTATATACAACAGAACCAAACACTGCCCAGTCCTGCACCATCCTCACAATCCTTTCTATGTTTGAACCCACTGTTGCAGCCACTGTGTCAATTCACTTCGTTAAGCATCTTTCTCTTTTTCACTTACCCTCTACCTAGCATGATGTCTGTGGTAGTCAAGGTTGTGTGTCAAAGTTGCTGGGCCGTGGTTTTGAGTAGCTTGGCAGCTAGATGTAGTTATTCCCCATGATGAGACTGGTAATCAACTCCATGGTAGAATCTGCTGTGAGCAGCTAACTAGCTGCTTTTGGGGTGTGGCCTGCTTCCAGAATATATGGAGAAATTTTAAGAAAGGATTCTAGGTTCTGTCTCAGAAAAATAGGAATAGAAAGGAAATTCCTCAACACAACAAATGGAAGGTGCCTAAGGCATTTGACTGCTAACCACAAGGCTGGTGGTTCAAACCCACTAGCCACTCCTCGGAAGGAAGACTGGGCAATGTGCTTCCAGAGAGAGAAACCAAAACCAAACCAAACTCACTGCCGTGGAGTCGTTTCCGACTCATAGCGACCCCTTTTTGGATTTCCAAGGTGGTATCTCTATGGAAGTAGATTGCCCAATCTTTCTTCTGAAGATTGGCTGGTGGGTTTGAACCGCAAGCCTTCTGGTTAGCAGTCAAATGCCTTAGGCACTATGTTATCAGAGCTCCCCAAGGAGGAGTCGCTATGAGTTGAACAGT